AGACTGGCTGAAGGGCATGAATCACTACTTCAATTGGTGCGCCCAGACAAAACCGCGAAAAGTCAAGTTTACCATGATAAAACTCACCGGACTCACCTACCAATATTGGTCATCAAATTATTAATGCATATTAGAGATGAATTACCAATTTTAACTTGGTGAGAAATGGTCAACGAGCTTAAAAGGAAATACCTCCCGCTATTGTTCTATCATAGATTGCTCGACAAGTGGCATCAACTTACTCAGGGAACCAAATCTGCAAAAGAGTATGTTGCTTAATTTGATGAATTGTTTACTTGATACATCACCATTGAGCAAGAGGCACCAATGAATGTCTTGTTAAAGTTTAGAGCAGAATTGAGAAGCGACCTTCAAACCGAACTCTTTGCTAGATGAGTAGACACCCTTGAGGGAGCTTACATCTTAGTTCAAGATCTAGATAAAACCAAATTCCACCAATCTCATAGGAGTCAGGATTTTCGAACTCATTCCGCCCAGTCTTCCCGTGCCCCTACCTCTAGTAAACCTCCGAGTCGATTTAACCCTAGTTCTTCCCAGTCTAGAGTCGCTCCCAAGGGTAAGGAGTCATAGAGAGATTTTTCCAAATTTAGCCCAATAATTCAGTGTTACAATTGTCAAGGATATGAACATGTTTCTACCATCTGTACAACCCTGTTCAGAGTTAGAATTAATAAGCCGCCTATAACAGAATCAAAGCCTATTATTTAGGAAACCATTAACTAGGCTGTAGATTTGACAAAATCTAACTCTGACAAGAAAATCCAGGACAATAAAATTAAAGAACCATGCACTTATGTTTCTTCTTAAACCACTCCTGTAATTGTGGAGTTGATTGAATTTTTATGTAATGACAACATTCTGATTATTTTCAAAACTACCCTTATGATCACGGAGTTCACTAATGTTATCTCTGTAGTTGTTCCTAAAATTAAAACTCCAATTCTTCCTGAACTCACTCCAGTGATTAAAAACGTTGTTGATGTTCCCCCACAAAGTCCTCCCAGACAAACATGACACCCAACACATTCCTGACTTGGTTCCTAAAGTGAGACACTCAGATATCTGTATGGAAGTTGAATCCAAAACTGAGCATAGTGAAATAACTACCATATTAGATACCAAATCCTCATGCATTGTCCCGACCATCACTCACACATACACTGATCCGTTTTGGGAATATATAGTGATTAGGGATACAAGATAGAGCACGAGTGTTTTCATTTCCTTTCTCTCTCATGTTAAGTGCACAAAAACACTCCTCCTTCACGCATTTGTTTGCATGTTCCTCATTATAACTACTAGAATAGGAAATTTGTTATGCATATTAATGAAGGAACACCTAATTAATCCCTTTGATCGAGGACGCCATGCATGTTAAGCACTTCGTTGAGTTTACATCTGCCTTTGATCATATTGTTCGAGTCTACATTTCATACATAGTCATTTGAGTTGATTTGTATTATTTTATTTGACTTGCATTGATCATACATTGGGGAATCAATCATCTAATTTGAATAAATACATTGTTAACTGAAATGTATGATATTGAGTCAGAACATAATTTAAAATTGTTAATGATGATATTTGAGATGGTTTGGACAAATACAGTTTCTTTTATAGCCGTTTAAGATTTGACATGATATTTATGAACTTTTACAACTCTTGAAATAATTAATAGCAACATTTATAGTGTCTGTTTGGTCATAGTTCTATTTTCAATATTGATTGATTACGCAGTTCACAATGTTTATTGGCAGTCCACTGAAATAAGCCAGACCCTAGACTATTGTTCTGAGAGTTCTTTCGCTTTACCCCACTTCTATATATTCACCCATATAGTAGTGAATTTTAATAATATTTTAGATGGTGAATTTACAATACAATTTAGCTAATGATTTGAGATGCAGGAAAGTAACTGACAGCAGATTAAGATGCAATTAGTTTATATTGAAGATGATAAGTTTCTGCAGCTAACTCGACGGAGTCGAGTTTTCTCCTACCTGGGGAGAATGATGAGGACAAGCTTCCATATTTATTGTTTGACTTTTGTTTTTTATTTATTTCAGTTTTTAGTAGTCAATTTCAAATTTTGAATTTTAGTAGTAGATTTGAATTTCAAATTTTGAGTGAGATTTGGTAGTTATTGATTGTTAGAGATTTGATTGTAAGTGATTTAGAGAATCTTGTATTTCTATACTCTATTTAAGCATAATTGTAATCAGGATTATTATTATTGAATGGAATGAAGAAAATTGTTGCTAATTGCTTGGTGTGAAACCATGGGTGTGAAACCCTAGTTACAATTCTCTCATTCTTATTCTCCTCATACACAGTTGCCAACCTCATTCCCTTTTCTTCGTCCAATCACTGTCACCTACACCTGCTCCTTCTCCTCTTCAAAACACCAACACACCAGCGACCCAAACACCCAACCCTACCGCCTTCTGCTCTTCCTTCAAGAAGTCTATGCCTGCAGGTCCAATCTCCCTCTCCTCCTCCATCGAGCAGCACGAAACCCCAATCCCCTCCTCCTCCATAAGCAGTAGCGCCCCACACCTGTACCTCCTCCTACCAACCACGGAGCCCTCCCGTTCTCCCCGCCATTAGAAATATCCCCCACCCCACCAGCCCTATTCCACTTAAGTACCGCCAATCCACTACTCTTCTTCCGCAAACCATTTAACCCACTACTTCTTTGCTACCTCAAATCCAAACAGCCACTTGATAGCTCAATCGATGCTATCAGCATCCATTCCGTCCCCATCATCATCATCACTTCACATGCCGTGGTCGTCACCTAGTTCACTATCGTCGTCTTCCACGTTGACGTTGTTGCTCGCGTTGCTGTCCAGTTGTCGCCACCGTTATCACATCATCCAGTCGACACCGTTATCCTTGTTGGCACTTAGTTCGTCACCTTCAACGTTAGTTAGTTCTGTGTCGTCGCACACGTCGATTTTGTTCAGACCGACGAAGGTTTCACTTTCTTTATTTTTCTGTTAATCTCATCTGGTTAGTTAATTGCATGAGTATATTGTCTCTAAACTATTATCACATATTCACTGCTTAGTTCATACTTATGAGTTAAGAGTAACTTGAGCATGTGATTGTTGAAAATTTGATACTGATTTTAGAACGTGTGCAATGATAATTAATACTGCGATTATATTGTTAGAGATTAGAATTGTTCATGATTATTGATGCAAGTCTTGTTAAAATCCATCTGTCACGTCAATTGTTTTGAAATTAATTTACTGCCGTAGATTATGAATTTTGGCGAAACGATACGTTATTCGATTTAGATCACTAATTCTGATAGACCCTCTGTCCCATTTCGCATCAAATATATAACTAGGATTGGTTACGATAAAGATGTTGGTGTTATAAGAGCATGAGGAGTGCACAGCTGCTCTTCAGAAGTCGGCCTAGTTGGTTTAGACATTAGCTACTAGCATGATTAAATGACTTAGGTCTACGGAGTCTAGCGTTTGCAGCTGTGCATGTTCCGGTCGACACCCCTCTGACGCTCTACTTAGTGATTTTACCCTTGATAATAATTAATGTAAGGGGGGGAGGGGGAATGCAAAATAGACCGTTTTTGCTAATTATTTAGCAAAATAGTCCGTTTTGCTAAATAATTAGCAAAATAGACCTTTTTTTGGCCAACAGGCCAAAAAGAGGTCTATTTTACAAAACAGCTCAGAAAACATACGAGACTAGTAGTCCCGTATGTTTTAATCACGGATTAGTGAAATTTTCTACTCAAAAAACATATGGGACTACTAGTCCCGTATGTTTTCTGAGTCACTAATCCGTGATTAGTTGACTCTAAACATACGGGACTAGTAGTCCCGTATGTTTTCTAAGCATTGTTTTTCAAAATCGACCTCTTTTTTTCAAAAGAGGTCTATTTTGCTAATTATTTTTCAAAGTGGTCTATTTCGCTATATATTTCATAAAAATGGTCTATTTTGCAAATTTTCCCTTAATGTAATCTTAAGGCACGGAATATGGGATGAGATCTAAAATTTCCATCATTCAGTATCTCGGGTTAACTTGGAGAGAGCCCTTTTCCACTAAGGGCCCGTTTGGATAATGGAAGTATTGGAAGTAGGAAGTAGGTTACGGAAGTAACTTCCAAAACTATGAAGTAGAAAGTAGCGGAAATAACATTTTTTTGTTTGTTTCTTATATTTTTAGAAGTAATGGAAGTAGAACTTCTTTCTCTTCATTTACTTTTTTTGTTTGGATAATATTTGAAAATATTACTAGGAAGTAATTAATACATGTTGCTTCCATTTTATTCTTGTTTGGGTTGTCATTGAAATAGAAATAGAGTTGTTGTTGCCATCAATTTAAATTTAAAAATCTGCATGACATTGCGAATATACTCCTAAAATAAAATTAAAAATAGAAATAGATAAGAGTTTGCATTTCAGGGGATTACGTAAAATTATTTCACTTATTCTTGAAAAATTGATGACTTGGATAGATCTGTTTCAGTATGCTTTCAAAGAAAATGCTTCAGTTTGTCATTTGTTCTCTTTTTGTGTGGAAGTTAAAAGATAGCTGAAAGCCAGGTTTCGCCGTTTGATAATATTTGTGTTATCATTTTATGAACATCCAATACTTATCCAATTTGTCTAGAACATTTATTTCACTTTGAATCCATGCTACAGAAATGACTTCGATAAACCAACAATTGGGCACCAAAAAAGAAAAAAGAGAAGAAAAAAGAAAAAAAAGGAAAAAAGCAACAACATCCACGAAAAATTATTGAGCTCAGAATAAGAAAGTGCTATTAAATATTAGCTGAAATAAATAAGAATCATAGTATTGTTGTAAGCTCAATTTATATCAAAGTCCAACACACATAATTGACAATAAACTAGTATCATTAAGTTTAAAAAAAATAATAAAGTGCAATCTCTAAGAAGACTACCCATACTTGAAAAATTGTTTAAATTGAGAACCATTTATTAAGGGGTGCTATCCATGTTTGTGAAACTAGTAGTTCCACTTTGAGTGTTGTCCAAAGTTGGTCGCCTACCTATCCTCTCCAACACGTTAAGAATCCTCTTTCTCTGTATTGGTTCAGGCAATACCATAAAAGCCTTCGCTTCAACTTCATTCTTGTAGTATTCATTGAAAACTAGTTCAAGATCATCTATGGAAATATCTTGAAAACCAAAAACCTTATCAGCAAGAACCTCAACCCAAGTTCGCTCCTTCAAACCAACAATGGCAGTGGCTACCTTTCCCATTTCCTCCACAAGTTTCTCACCAATAATTATATGGGAGTCCTCCCTTTTCTTCTTCTTTACTGGACGAGACGATTTACCACTTACAGTTCCTGGCTTGATAAAAATGCTCGAAGGCTCCATTCCGTTGAATTGTGATACACGAACTCCATCCATACCAGGACTATCTACAAGATCATCTTCGTCGATATTGATAGTTGGAATCTCTTTATCGATGTCAGGATCATAACTTGTCTCTCTGAATTCTCCAGTAGCATGATCCTCCCCACAAATAATGCGAAGCTCTTCATATCTTGGAATTGGACAATTCAAATACGGCTTGTATTTTGGATGTCTCTGTTTATAAGAAAAATAGAGATTTTTAATGTGATATAAGCATAAAGAGAAGTTTGAATTAACTTGGAAAAAATTAAGACATTAATATACCTCGATAAGCTCAGCATATGTCGTGGTATCAAGTGTAATCATCTTGCTCTCTTCATCCCATCCGGCTCCACTAAGTTTTTTTGCTTCACAAATAAGTTTCTACTTATCTTTGAGGGTTCGTAAGTGGTTCTCGACATTGTATGTAGTATAATTTTCTCCAAAGATAGAATTCACATGATCAACAGCCTTTTTAAAAGCAGGGGCTTTAAATGTCTTATACACTTTATAACCATTATTAGCAAGTTCCACTAAGCAAGAAATTAATGCCTCAATATGTGGAGGTTTCCATTTTTTGTTACTAGTTCCTTTTTTCCCTCCTCTCGGTGTTTCTTTGTTCCCGGTTGACTTTCGTTTCTTCCCTGCATTCGTATGTTTTCTATCTTTTGAAGGAGAATTAACTTCAAGACTTGAAATTGAATTTTGTGAAGCATTATTCTGGGAGCTTTGTGATCGCATGATTTGTTGGCTCAAATTTATGGGTGGGAACCCAATAGGAGTTCCACCAACATTGGCATTCATGAATTGTTGATTAGACGAATCTCCAAGATGACCAAAAACATAGGGGTTTCCAAGAGCGTGTACTCCATGAGAACGAGAGTAATGTGGCGATTGTTGATCTAGTGTTGAAGTGACTTGAAAGTATCCAGTACTGTTACCCCCATATGCACACTTTTCTATATTGTCCATCGTCCTGTGATATTGTAAATATTCATAGAGACAACAAGAATAAAGTTTACATTATGACAATTGGAAAGCAAAACTATAAAATTAGACATACATATACTGAAGCTCATCATAAAAAAGAACATGTCAATAAAGAAATGTCAAAGATACACAAAATTTTCTTTCCAATAAGCTTGATAATAGGAAAAAAACAAACTTGTTCACTTAATGATCTAGCATATATTAGTGATATCAATTAAAATAATACAAAACACAAATACTAATCACCTAATCCTATTTCCACCTCATTACCTTCCTTATATCGAGCACAATATTCTATCCACATAGACTTTGCTATTTCATCTCTTTTCTTTAACCAAGTAGCTTGTGCTTCTTTCTGTTCCCTTTTGCTTAAATTGAGCATGCTAACCTCAGATTCTTCACTAACAAATTCACTCTCGCTTTCATCAAAAACTACATCTTCTGTTATGTAACGATCATCTGGATCAACTATCATTATATAATTATGTAGAATGCAACATGCAATAACAATCTTGACCTGTGTTTGAAATGGAAAATCAGGTCTACATGTTAGAATTTTGAAACGATTTTTCAGAATTCCAAATGCGCTCTCTATCTTTGATCGAAGTGATGAGTGACGAAGATTAAAAAGCTCGCGATGGTTCAATGGTTCCCTACCATCTTGCTCTTTAAGATGGTAGCGCACGCTACGATAAGGTGCAATAAAACCGGGCATTGTCGTATATCCAGCATCGCAGAGATAATATTTAAGAAGTCTAGACTTTCGTAACATGCGAACAAGGTTGAAAAATGGACCTCTATCCATTCTTAAGTAGTCATATGCAAATGTTCTGCCGCCATAAAATAATCGGTTGATATAAGCATATCTCAATGAATCTCTACACTCGGTTGGTTCCCTAGGAAGTACTTCTCTTTTATTCTCAAACAACATAAAGTAAGCACACAATATACACACCACATATGCAGCAAAGCAACTTAGTGTAGCATCTCTAGCTTTTGAAGGTTCCATATTCTACATAAAACAAGTAAAACAATGTTATAAACTAAAAAAAAATCAGTGCATATGGTAATTATAAAAATTCGCCAATTTATTTCTCTAGTTTCAAAAAATAATATGATTCTCACATCCTACTAGCGTTGTTGTCTCTAAAATCTATTTTCTCATGCTACCTATAAATTCTCTTTCCAGTCAACATGCATTTGTCGGTGAATGGTGGTAATTAATTATGAAAAGTCATGCTCTAAAACGCGATATTTAACAGAACATAAAGACAAATGTCATTGGAACACTAAACATGGTGGGGCTTGCATAGAAAGATTGACGTGCTTGTAAAGGTTTTTATGTGATGTATGATGATTAAGAGAGATTTACACTATTAGAAGGTAAAAAGGGACAGAGGAAGAAAAATCTGACAGATTAATGCTTCTATGCCTAATATGTGTTACTGTTCTTTTTGTTGCCTTATCCGTTTTTCATGGAAACTGATTAACATCTAAATCCATCAGCTGCATAAGGATTGGAATGCACTAATGGACTGCTATTACCAAACTCTTCACTTTTATACCATTACGGTTTTACCGTCATTTTATTTTAGGCTATCACTATTTTGACACTAGTTCTTTTTCCCACCATAATTTTCTTTTGTCATATACCAAATTCCAGAATCCTCACAGTTCGTATGACTCTCATCATCAAATTTGTCTCGTAATAATTTTTTGATTGTGGGATCTTATTGATTGTTTTAGGAGTTATAAGTTTCTATGATGAGGGTAAGCGTGTGGCAGAGAATTTTGATGTTTGATTATCATAGACAGCATGGCCTAGGTAAGAGATCGTGCAATACCAGCCAAAGTGGTGTTGTTCCTGTGTTTTCGCTTTGGTGACATTCCAATTCTATAAATAATTTTCTAAAGGCGAGACCCATGATATACGATTGATTGCAATCTATCCTCTCTATACAGAGATTCAAATTGCTAGAATTTTCAACACTTATGGCCAACGAATGAACATTGATGATGGTCGTGTTATTAGTAACTTCATAACTCAAGCAATCCGGTATTATTTCAATCTTTAGCTTCTATCATTACAAATTCATCAATATAAGGTACAGAGGAATTAATCTTGCTGCCCTTTATGTTTCTTCTTTGCATCTTTAGGGGTGAACCATTAACAGTTCAAGCTCCAGGAAACCAAACCCAAAGTTTTTGTTATGTTTCTGACATGATTTCTGCCTATGAATCTGAATGTTTCGGTGCATAAATCTAATTGTTGTTGGATAATTTAAAGTTTTCCTTTCTCTTCTAGAGGTTAATGGACTTATTTGGTTGATGCAAGGAGAGAACAATGGTCCTATTAACATTGGAAATCCTGGTAATTTTGATTTATTTCTACATGAACCAAAAAAACCCAGCAACACAAATTCATCTTTCCAAACTGATATATACCTTGACATAAATTCATGAGAACAAATACACAAAAACTCACAAATAAATCCATAATCTAACAGTTAGCCAATCTCCAAAATCTAGCAACACATCCAATGATCTCCCCCAATATCAAATCAGCCACGTCTAGAAGAAGACCAAGAAGAAGAAGAGGACAACAACCTAAATCCGACACCAAACCCAACAAAATTCTGATCTATTTCTACATGAACCAAAAAAACCCCAAATCTTTTTGACTATTATTTCTCAAAGGAACCTTAACTAAAAGATCAAGCTTTATGGAAGATTTCTACAAGTAATATAGAAATATTGCATGAATTTAATTGCAATAAAAGATCAAAGTTTTATCCTTTACATACCCTTTTTGTTGAAGCGAAGAACGATGAAGAAGGACCCAATAAAAGATCAAAGTTTTATCCTTTACATACCCTTTTTGTTGAAGCGAAGAACGATGAAGAAGGACCCTTTTTTCCGTGAAGATGGCGGGGACTAGAACCGCGAAATTGAGTGAACAACGAATGGCGAAGTCGGTTCTGGGGATATTAGAAGGGGAAGAGTCGGTTGGTTGTGAGGACAGAGGATAGAACCGACTCTAGGATGGTTGTGAGGATATAGATAAGAACTGATCACTTCTTAGATGACTTCCGCCGTATTTCGAAGACTTTTTGACGGGAAAAAATTAAGGAAATAGAGATGACACGTAGATGCCATGTCATCGTTTAAGGAAGTAGCGGAAGTAGATTTTCAAGAGAAACAAACATTAGAAGTAGCAGAAGTAGTCTTTACCTCCTCTACTTCTGCTATTTCACGGTTACTTCCGTGCAAACAAACAGGCCCTAAAGGGGAACGAGAATTACTTGCTCTCTGTTAGTTAGATAACGACTGCAATATTCAGTCATTAGCGTCGCGAGCATTATATTTTGCGCTACTAATCGATCCACTTATGCAGCATTCATGATAGGACCCACCTACTCGAGTGAGATGCATAATATTTCATGCAATATTATATGCCATCACAAAATAAGAACTACTCATCACGTTGGCTACTCCTCCTATATCCGACCTCTTACCTTATAAACTGCAAATTAAGAGAAACAACGAATATGAGCTTTAAAGTTAGGATAAGCTACGTACGTACACTCAATCAATGTAGAACGTTCCCTCACAACGGTTTGTACAAAAAAAAAACAAGAGAATCATTTCGTTGGAATTGGATGCGCACTACTACCGGGGGAATGCATGCATGCATAGAAGATCATACCCATTTACCCTAATGCATCTTAATTTGTATAAATTACATAATTCTACAACACCCATCACCTTACAAATTAAAAGCATATTTCCCCCCTCGATCGAGCTTACAACACGAAGTTGCTCAGTACATGTCAAATTTCGG